TAATATAGCAGGCTTTATGATGCTTTTATGATGTTTTCCGTTAGTTGGATGTTCTTATCCCGGGATACTGCTTATACATCTATTCCAGGATCCGGAGAGAACCCCCCCACCCCCATTTCTGTCACATTACAAACATGAAAACTGCAGCGGTTCTTCCTACCAATAATCTGCATATAGGAATCAGTATTGAGAAACATTCAAACTACAGTTCTGTTCCTTGTTTTCACCTAGACAATCATGGAACACTATGAAAAATCCAACAGGAGACCATTAAATGCAGAGAAGTCACTGGCTCCCACTGAGATACGTTGATATTTTTCGCTAATGAGTGGTATTCAAGGCTGTCATCTACAAAACGGTCTGAGGTGTGTGTGCGTCTGTGTAAGTGACAAGGAAAAAGAGACGTACATCATCAGTAGCCTCCTGTTAATCTTGAGGAGGAGGTTTTCTTCAGCCCAGATGAGAGTATTCCACAGAGAAGAAAGACTCTGTAAAAACCTTAGAAACAGGATCACTGACTTGATTTACAGCTACTGGGATTTAGGATAGACAGCCTCTGTGGGCCTCCAGAACTCCAGATTCTCCACAAATCTACATATTTCCATTAACTAATCACGGTAATATTGATTATAGCTAGTTAGGTAGCTCTGCCTCTGTCTTCCCCACAAACACAAAAAAGTCTGTAGTGCTGACTTTCTCAGTTGTTTCTTCCTCCAAATGCAACAATAACTTTACTTTGATCTGATCCCATCAGAATCGATCAGTCAGAATGATAAGGTTACACATACAGAATGCCCAGAACAATTTCTATAGCTAAACTTGTTGAAGTCATCTGGGGGTAGTGCTGTTTAAGGCCTTGATTTTTGTTAAATTGATTTTATGCTGTTTCATGCTTTTTAATGACCTGTGGTTGCAGTGGGACAGGAGAGAAAAGAATCCCAAAGATTTGCTCTTGGGACATTTTTCTTCAGCCTGTGTGTAATTAGGCTTTCACCTGCATTTTACCACATAGACCTGGGGTGGCATGGTGGTGCAGTGGTTAGCACTGTTGCCTCACATGTTTGGGATCAGCGTTAGAGTTTCCGCTTGGGTTACATGTGTGTGGAGTTTGTATGTTCTTCCCATGTTGTCGTGGGGTTTCCTTTGGGTGCTCTGGTTTCCCTTCACAGTGCAAAGACATGCTGAGGCAAACTGGAGTTACTAAACTGCCCATAGGTGTGAATAGTGTGTGAGTGTGCCCTGTCCTGGGTTGTTCCCTGCCTTGTGCCCGTAGCTTCTGGCATAGGCTCTGAACCCCCCACAGCCCTGAGTAGGATAAGTGGTTTGTAAAATGGATGGACTCTGACTTGAGATAAACAGGAATCAACTGAGAGCCAAAATAAAATGACCACTTTATAAATGTAGCTAAATAAAAATCTATATATGGTTTCCTTTACCATTTCATATACCTGTAAGGACACAGACTTGCTTTTGTCACAAACAGGGCCATGTTATGGTCTTATGAGGGCCCTGGGCACCTGCCCTTTTGAGGCCCCTTATAATCAACACTCACTGAATACACCGATGGGCCCTGGGTCCCTTATAATCAACACTCACTGTATACGCCGATGGGCCCTGGGTCCCTTATGATCAACACTCACTGTATACGCCGATGGGCCCTGGGTCCCTTATGATCAACACTCACTGTATACGCCGATGGGCCCTGGGTCCCTTATGATCA